CCCGACTTAAGGAAACTATCAGAAACGGATCTGGGGCGAAAGACCACCCCCGGGAAAGAGGTCTGGACCTCTGGGGCCGCGGACGGGAAAAATCAGATCGGCGGATTTCTGGGAAGATACCCACAAAGCTACTTTTGTACCCTTGCCGAGAGCATCTGTCCCCAGACCTCCCCTCGGGAGGTCTTTGGTCATTTTCTGCATCCGGGGGCCCTCGCCGGGCCCAAGGACCGTCAAAGAACGACTCAGGATGAAAAGCCAGTCCCGGGGAATGGGTCGAGATCTCAGGGGTCTATGTCATGATAAAAGCACGGCGTGGGGGGTCTGGGGAGGCACCAGTACCTCGGAAAGAAAACACTACATAAACATAAACTGTTGAGCTCCGCGCGGATTTCTTCTCGGATCGGCGCTGGACCCCCCTGGCGGCGTCTCCGGCGCCGCCCCTTGCGCGCTCCGCGCGCCAGGGAAGGGGTCCCCGAGCTGATGCACGAAGTCCGAGCGGAGCTCCAAATGTTTCTGTTACACAGTTTTCTTTTCACCGCCGCCCCCTGCCTTTTGGAAGAGCCCGTCGTGCGGCCGAACGCTGGGCCGAAGCCAGACAAGCTGTTGGACTATGTGTTCCGCCAGCCGTGGTAGAACTCCTCGGGAGAACACGTGGAACAGAACGAGGAAGGAGGGTGAGAGAGAGAGGAGAAGGAGGACGAGGAAGAGGAGGAGGAGGAGGAGGAGGAGGAGGAGGAGGAGGAGGAGGAGGAGGAGGAGGAGCAGGAAAAATAGGAGGCCTCAATGGGAACCACCCTGGGGCATCCTGGGAGCCTCTTGGGGGCCTCTGAGGGGCCAGCCTCTTGAGTGGCAGTTGGCTTGATCAGCTGCCTTGTCGGCCTGGCACCCCACGGCAGAGAGAGGGCTCAGGGGGGGTGTAGGAGTAGGAGCAGGAGCCAGTGGCGATGCCAGTGCCTCTGACTTCTATAGCTCTTGGTCCCTCAGGGCCTTCTTCGCTTTGCTGAGGAACTTGAGAGCCACATCTTCACGAATTCTCTCAAGGTCAACTTTGGCAGTGGTGGTTTAACACGCTGGGGATCGAAGGGCGGGCGATGGGGGGAGAAGAAGGAGCGTGGCAGAGAGGTGGGGGGGGGCGAGGGAAAGAGTAAGGAGACAGTGGGTGGGGGGGAGGACGGGGAAAAGCGAGGAAGAGGGAGGGCCTGCCGCGTCTTGGCCTCTCTTGGGCCTCCTGGGAGGCCCTCGTCGCCACGGCTGGATTCGCCTCCAGCGGCATCTCAGAGCGACGAGTGAACACGGCGTCGTCTGCGCCGACACTGGCGCGCCAGCTGCCCACCTTGAGCTCGCGCGCAAAAGCGCCCTCGCTTCTTCGGGTGCAGCGTGCCGCTTCCCGGCGGCCCGCGCAAGACCCCCCGCGCGAGGTCTTGGCATCGCTCGGAAGTGTGCATTTTTTCTCGGCGAGAACCATCGAGGACCATCCTGGACCATCGGGCAACAAACAAACACGCACGAAACCGACAAATGCGCGGGAAATGGACGTCCGAGCGACGGCAAGGAGGTCGCTGCGTCATCTCGCGTAAGAACCGTTCCCAGACATGCGACGCCCTGATTTTTTCCATATGCGGCCCCTGGAATCAGAGCGTGAATTACCTACCCCGCACCCCGCTTTCGCTTCCAGGCAAAACCAAGTCCTACCACGCGCCTCCTCATCAAGCGGCCTCTCAGTACAGGCCGTAGTTTGGCATCGCTTGGTATCTCTTGGAAGCGAGGGTGGTCAAAAGCGAGGTAGGTTTGTTTGTCCCCTATGGAAGTCCTGACCCTTTTCCCCGGGACCCGTTTTCCATATTGCGTCTTTCTGTTGACGGTCGCCGCGGCCCCGGCGAGGACCCCCCGAGGCCGAAAGTGGCCAGACACGCTTCCCGTCTCGATTTGTTTTGTTTACGACGCGATCATGTCGGGGTTTTGATCGCCGCTCCTCTTGGTCTCCCCATCCGAGGCGCCAGTACGCCTCCAGCGTGCTCTCCGCCTCGTAGGCTTCATCAGCTCTGGGCGCCTCCTGGCAGTGCGGGGGCGCCCGAGGCGCCAGTAGTAGTACGCCTCTGGCGTGACCTCCTCCGCTCCGTAGGGTTTAGCGGCGGCCCGCCTCTCCTGCTCCAGCAGTGGCGAGGAGGAGGAGGAGGAATAGGAGGAGGAGGAGGCGGAGGCGGAGGCCGAGGAGGCGGAGGAGGAGGAGGGGGGGAGCAGGAGGGGGAGGAAGGGAACGCTAGGTTGGGAGCCCCACTAGAGAATCCAGACCCCCTCAAGTAATGGGAACATCATGGCGGGAGTTTTTGTTTTCATGTTCGGTCTCCATGGAGGCCCTGTTTGGGCCTCGGGACCGTCGTAAGACGACTCAGGATGTAAACCTCTGAGGGTCGACGATGTGAACAAATCATGCCGTCAGGGGTCTGGGAATGCGCGCACTGTTCTTCGACCATTTCTGGTCGAGACTGCGATGGTTTCGTGCATATATCGGTTCATCAGATCGTGTTTTTGTTTTTGTTTCGAGCAGTTCTTGGTATGCTCATGATCTAGGCCTCCCAGCTGGTGTCCGCGCAGATTGGGTCGGAGGAGCGCGCCACATCGCCGATGCATCGGCGACGCGGCTCGATGTGGGGCTGGAGTGTCTACACCGACGCGGCTACTGCGCCGCCCACGTCGCCGATGTATCGCCGATGACTCGGCGATGCCTCGACGGTGCGGCGCGATCCTCCGACCCCATCCGCGCCGACCTCATCGGGGAGGTCTCTGGGATCCTGCGGGGTCGTCTGGGCTTTCGGCCTGTCCTCCGGCGAGGCGCCGGCTTTGGCGGCCTGTCGCCGCGAAGGAGTTTCGGGGGTCTCTTGGGCGTGTCCCTCCACAAGAGGGGAATTCAAACATAGTCTAGGAAATAGTCAAAAAATAGTCAAACAATTCGTTGATTATGTTTGAGCATTTTTGGAATATGTTGCATCTTTCCTCGAATCCGCCTGTAGGGGGACATGCCCGACCTAATCCCAGAGCCGTGCGGTGACAGACCGTGCAGTGACCTCGAAGTATCCGGAGAGGCCTCGCTGCGCGGTCCGTCGCCGCACGTGTTCGGGACCTCGGAGGCCCACGTCGCAAAGGAACATCACCCGAGAGCAGCCTGAGGGGAGCGGGTCCCCCCAGGCTGCTCCCCGGGGCACAGAAGGGTGTGTTGCCTGCTGATGTTTAGCATTCTTTCGGTTCCTGCGTAGTGTATTGTTTTGTTGTCCCTGTCTCTCTATATCTCTCTGTCATGTTCTCTGCTTCTCTCTCTCTTTCTCGCCCTCTCTCGGTATCTCTCTTTTTAGCTCCCTCTCCTCTCTCTCCCTCTCTCTCTTATCTCTCTGTCTCTATTGTTCTCTCTCTCTCTGTTTCTCTTTCTCCTTATTTGTTTCCTTGCTCTTTCCTTCTCTCTCTCTCCCTCTCTCTCTCACTCTCTCTCTCTTTCTCTCTCTCTCTCTCTCCCTCTTTCTCTTTAGATGGCTCCTTGTTTTTGTTGTTTCTCTCTCTCTCTCTCATTCACGTTACGTTGCGTATGTGTGTGCGTGCGTGCGTGCGTGCGTGCGTGCGTGTGTTTGTTGTTTGTTTATTCTCTTTCTGTTTATATATAAAAGACAATACAGTTTTGCTTGCGCACGCCATACCTCGCTGCGCCCCCTCGCACCGACGGGAATGGGGCGATATACGTGTACGTATAAGCGTACTCAGTCGGGGCAAAGTCCGACGTAAGTCCGACTGCTAAGTTCGAGCTGAGTGCGAGTTGAATATATGAAGCCAAGATGACCAAATCGGCAACATTTGCATCATTAGCTCATTTGGGGAGAAGTCGTCTCACTGCACGGGAGGAAGCAACAGAAGAGAACTTCACGGACTTAGCCGTCTGATGGACTCATAAGTAGACATAAGTACATCGTGAGTTGTAGTGGCCTCCGGCCAGTGCCGCCGATCCGGGGCACTCCCGATGGTGTTCGGGTTCGGTTGGAGGCCCTGGGGGCCGTCTTGGGGCACTCATTGTGGCAGTCGCAGGAGGAAGCCTTTTGAGAGGGTCTTTGAGCCTCTTTGGGGTTTCTTGGAAGCCGTTTTGGCTGTCTTGGGGCGTCCTGGCCCGTCGGGCCCGTCTTGGGCGCCTCGCTGTGCCGTCTGGGAGCACTCTGGGGGCGCCTCAGGGCTGCCTTGTACGCTACCTTGGCCGTCTTGGGACCATCTTGAGGCCGTCGTAGGACCCTCTTGGGCCGTCATAGGGCCATCTTGGAGGCCTCTGGGGCGATCTTGGGGGCCTCGGGGGCCGTCGGAAGGCCGACAATAAGGGAGCGCCCGAAGCCTTCAAGTGCACCAAGAAGTACAAGCCCGAGCTTACGAACTCTTCTGACAAAGCACGAGCTATCAGAGCCCGGAGCCCGGCGAGGGCCCTCATGCGGCCGAACATCTGGAACTTGTTGTCTGTCCTGTTCTATTCACGCCGCGAGGGCGCGGCGCGTCTGGGTCCACCGGTGGAGTGTGCGGAGCCCCGCAGGCAGACACGCCGTGGCTCCGTCCATGGGGGGCTCCCGATCGGCAGGGAAGAGGAGGAGGAGGAGGAGGAGGAGGAGGAGGAGGAGGAGGAGGAGGAGGAGGAGGAGGAGGAGGAGGCGGCAGGGCGCCGGGCACAAGGCCCCGCCTCCCTCCCTGGCGGTCGAGCGGCCAACGTCGTGAGCGGCGCCCATTGGGGCCTGGCGCCGGGCCCGCTGCGCGGTCTGCGCCGGGAGCCCATGGCGCCCCATCGCGCTGCGAGCGAAAAGCGGCGGGGGCTTTCTGCCGGCCCGTCGCCGCGGTCCGCGCCCGGAGCGCTGGCGCCCCCTGCGCTGCGAAGACGAATTGGCGGAGGGTTTTCGCCGGCTTTCGGCGCCAGGCTGGGGCTCCGACCGGGCCCCGGGGCCGTCAGCAAACCGCGCTGGGAGGCGCTTGCGAACAGTAACCCACGTCGGAACGTTTTTGGCGGTTTTCGGCGTCTGGGGGCCCTTACCAAGCCCCGCGGGGCGGTGTCAGAAACAACCCGGGATGGAAATTTGGTTTCTGGGGGGCTCACGTCGTGATAAATCACGGAATCGGAGATTCGGGAAGGAAGTTGCAGTCGGTCGCGAGCGAATTCTACGGGGGACCTCGATAGACGTTTTCTCTGGTCCAAGCCTGGAGCGTGTTTCTTGATTGCTTGGGGCGCAATGGGCGTTGTAGCCCCCAGCCTCCCCCCTCTGTAACGTAACGCCCCTCCACCCCAGAGCGCTCCGGGCACTGCCGCCGTGCGCATCCAGATCTCCATCGGCGTCCGCATAGAAGTCCACATAGGAGCTTGGTCCGCATTCGGAATCTCATGGGGATCCGCATAGGGAGGAGGAGGAGGAGGAGGAGGAGGAGGAGGAGGAGGAGGAGCAGGAGCAGGAGCAGGAGCAGGAGCAGGAGGAGGAGGAAGCAAGGAGGTGAAGGTGGAGGTGGTGGAGGATGAAGAAGGGAATCAAGTCGCATTCTATTTTAAGCACTTCTCTGGCGTGGCGTTTAGCTGTCCGCAGCAGATTCTCATCTACATGCTCGTTCTACCTGTCCTGTGTACGCAGGCAGTGTGGTGTACACCAGCGTTGTGGTGCACGCAAGCACTGTGGTGTACACAGGCGCTGCGTCGCACACGGCTGTTGCGGTGTACGCAGGCACTGTGGCGCACACGCGCGTTGTGGTGCACGCGAGCATTGTTGTCTACACAGGTGCTGTGGTGTGCACAGGCGGTTCACGCAGGCATTGTGGTGTACACTGGCGCTGTGCTGCACACAGGCACAGTGGTGTACACAAGCGCTGCGTCGCACTTGGCCGTTGCGGTGTTACCCATTTGCTGTGGTGTACACCGGCGCTGCGGTGCACGCAAGCACTGTGGTGTGCACAGGCGCTGCGTCGCTCACGGCTGTTGCGGTGTACGCAGGCGGGGGAGGGCGTTCACATTATGCCCCCCCCCCGCCCCCCCCCCTATATCGCCTATGATCGCCAAAAATAGAGAAACGCGCTCCTGGGCCCAGGATCTGCGCACAGATGCCCCCCCAAACCAAGCCAGGAGGGCGCAGCATCCTGCGCTGAGGATGGGCCTCGCCAGGATCGGGGGGCCCTCTTGGACCGTCTTGGACCGTCTTGGGGGACTCTTGGGCCACCCTCGGCCCGCGACGTAATTTTTGGTTGGGGCTCCGGGGAAGGGGTCACAGAGAGGAGGCTTCCCTCCGACTCAACGACGACGTTGCTCCATTTCGTTCCTGCCTGGCGCGCTTCAGGAGGAGAAAGGCATAGGGAAGGGGGGGAGCGGCGACGACGACGACGACGACGACAACGACGGCGACGGCGACGGCGGCGGCGACGGCGACGGCGAAGGCAGCGGCGACGGCGACGGCGACGGCGACGGCGGCGGCGGCGGCGGCGGCGACGGCGACGGCGACGGCGACGGCGACGGCGACGGCGCGGGCGACGGCGACGACGACGACGACGACGACGACGAGTCGAACGAAAGAGCGCCCCCCACACGCCGACAGGGTCGGCGGATTCTCCATTGGCGTCCCCCTGCCCCTATGCCTGCTGCCCCTCTTACCCCACCCTTCTCCTATTGATTCTCCTGGTAGCCGTTCTCCTTCCAGAGGGGGGGGGAGGAGAACAGGGACGTGTAGGAGGAGCAGAATATGGGGAGGAGAGTATGCCCCCCTCCCCTTCCTTCTCACCTTCCCGCTCCCTTTTCCCTCCGTCAGTTTGCGCCGTCCGATCCCTGCCCCATCATTTCCCCCCCCTGCTCCTCCTTCCCTCCACTCTTCACGTCTTCCACCCTCTCCACCCTCCCAACCCCGATCAAGGCAGGACAATCGAATCAGAGGCGAAGGCGACGGCGAAGGCGACGACGACGACGACGACGACGACGGCGGCGACGACGACGACGACGTCGACGCACGGAAGAACGTCTCCCACACGCCGACACGGTCGGCGGATTCTC